AACTGCTCTGTGGGTGACATTCTTGCGACCTTCACCAGTAATGGCAAACCTACTCATGAGGTTCCTCAACCATTTCCCTTGGGGTGGGAAAACATAGAAACAAAGAAACAGAGCGAGTCGTAAGGGGTCTCCCGGGCCATCTAGTCTGACCCCTGGCTCCAGCCAGCTTTGCTCACGACATGCCCACCATGGGCACGTCTAGCCTATCTTTGAATACCCTCACTGACTAGCTGGCTGTGAATCATTTTGTGCAGGCAAAGGCAGCAGGGGGACGTGTTAAGCAAGTCTGTGCCTCCCAAACTCACCCTGACTCACCCTGATCATCTGGTCCCGATTTCATCTCCATCCCACTCTTTGGTTGCTCTTTATTAACAACAACAACAAAGCAAAACGCCCTGAGGGGGAAATACAGAAATGTCCATCATGTGTATTTCTGGCCTTAAGTTGCTTTATTCATTCATGTGTTTATTTTCAACTATTACACTGTTAAAGATAAAAAAAGCTTGAGAAAATGACATACAAACCAAATGAAAGGGAATACAGTAAGGAAGATCTGCGGCAGAACGGTGTATGTTGCAAAGACGTCTTTTGCTCTGCAATCCCATCCCATCTGGTTTTTTGCCTCCGTTCCCCAAACGTCTTGCCATTGTGCGGTCTCAGTTCTGATGGGAATGTTTTTTTGCAGGATTCCCCGCGACACACACACACACCCTGTATTCTGCATCTTGCAGATTTCTTGGAGTCTGCTGCTCTTGTGTGTGGATTATTATCCATTATTGTGTAGTTGTAGTACCTACACCAGGTCATTCATTCCCGAATATTGAAAGCAGAACAATTAAGATCGAACAGCCCAATCAGCTGCAGAATAAAAACGGGGCTGTAAAATCCAGGAGTGGGAACAGAGATGATCCGTTATTCAAGTAGGTCTGGCAGAGCCTTGGACAAGACGCCCCGGATGGGCCCCCTCCTCCATGAGTTGGCTTTCGCCAATGTCCGCAGCTGTTCTTCCCCCTCCTCCTCCTCGCTAGCCAGTGCATCTTGCCTGGGGAAGACGTCCACCTTGGTGTCTCCCAGGCCTCCCCCATCCCCACGGTCTGAGCCAGAGGGTAAGGCAGAGCGTGAAGGTGCAGTGGAGGAGGAACCGGGTTGCAGAGGGTGCCAGGAGCCACTGCTGGGACGTGGGCCTTCAGCTGGTGCCTGGCCATGCCTCTCCTCGCCACGGCCCTGCTGGCCTGCTTCCCTGCCCTTCCTTGCCGGGGATCTAGGCCTGCCGTCTTGATCCTGGAACATTCTCTCCCTCGACCCTACCTCTTAGACACTATCACGAATGGAGATAATGAGAAAGTAAAAAACCGAGCAGCCTGCAAGGGGAAAAGATTTTCTCGTATCTACAGGGGAAGGGAGATTTGTACCATCCTTTCCTGCATTACTATAAGCAACCACCATTTATGGAAATCCCATGGAGTGACATCAGCAGTCAACATCAAATGATGAGGAAGTATGACAGGAAGATTCCACTGCCTGGACAGAGGAAGTCGGTTCTACTCACATGCCCACCCTTCCTTTCCCATCCGCTCTGTGCCTCCGCAGTGAGCATATAGCTTCCTGCACCAAAAACCTTCTGAGAGAGACAGCCTTTTCCTCCTGGCAGAAACTTCTTTTTTTCCAGGAGAAACATTTAGATCCATGACGGAGACTGGCCAGCAGATGGAACAACTGCAGAGAAGGAGAACTTTGGTGCTGGGTGACATCCGATGAAACTCAGCCGCTGCAGAGGAGGCAGAGTTACCAGACCCTAGAAATAACTTGCCCTCTAAGCCCAAACAGGTGGCACGAGCTTGGAATGTGATTGCCAAGCCCCACAGGATGGAAGCCCAGAGACTCAAGTCAACTCCTGTGTCCATATCCAGCTGTCATGCACGCTCGAGAGGAAAAAGGGAGTTCTGATGCTACCTTTTGCCCAGGCCATCAGAATTCTTTCGTTGGTGTGGACTCCAGAGCATCGGTCCAGGAACTGGGAGATCCGGGTTTTAGTCTACTCACTTCCCCCTCCAACAAATGCATATGCAGATGTGGATGCACATTTCCATCAACCTGGATAGCGATGGGGATGCAACTGAATGCACATCCCAACTGAAATCTCCATCCACCTTTGGATGCATCTTTGATTTATGCTCCGGATTCCTGAAACGTACCTGGAAAGACGTCTCTGGAACACGTTTTATTTCATGGTCAAGGCAGAGAGTTAGGATTTTGATGCAGAGTTCTTAGCAGGGGAGGCGCCAAGTATGGAAAAGGTGGAACACGGTCTTTCTCCTGTAACAGACCTTCCACTGGGCCTCCTTTCAGCACATCTGATATCACTATTGATGTTTATCGCTCTGGAAGGGGCCAGGCCTATCAGACAAAAGAAATGGACAAATTTACATGTTCTAATTTACATCATGACAAGTCAGTTGGGGCAGAGAGCCGGTCGCCTGTACCTTTATTTCGGCGAGGTACATGAACAGCAGTGGGGTGCAGCAGAGGGCCCCCCAGAGGTTCAGGAATCCCGTTCTAGGGGCCCATCCCCTAACGCTGGTCCTCAGTGGGTCACAAATGGAGGGTGCAAGCCAATGTCGCCACCCCTCCAGTCTGTGCTGCCGCTGCCACACTTCCCGCTGCCCATTATTTAGGCAGCCATTTAGATAAAGCACTGGGCGGAGGGGGGGGGGGCCTGGACACAGACGGCCACCTGCATCAGCGGCTTGCCCCAGACTCCTCTCCTAGGCACATGCCTTTTCGGCCTCTAAGCCCCCGTTGTGACCCATGGTGGCTGCAAAGGGGCCAGGGTGGAGCTACCAAATAATCCTATGCCCCCCATCCCTGAATTATCATCACAAGGCCATCGGATTGTTGCCTAAAGAAATATTTTAAATTAATGTGATGTATTTGAATGGACAAATGGATTTACTCCCAACACAAATAAATGACCACCAATACAGCATCCAGTCTATAAACTATGTGGATTATTTATTTTTAAAAAATTAACTTTTTTTAAAAAAATTAGATGTTTCAGTGTAAAATATGGAAACTGGTGTTTTGTACTGAAATATTTTGCAGCTTAATGACTAAATACAGAAATCTAAATGATTTTTAATCTTACACATTTTTAAATGCATAAAATTTAAAATTTTGATTTTATATGATTTTACAATGTATTTGCTGAATGCACTATCGATGTTCATCCTGTTTGTCCTACTGCATCATATATCATGCTGCACGTGTGTTGATTAATTTGCCATTTCCACACGGGTGGAAAACTGAGGGTGTGCAAATGTGTTGGTAACTGGGAGGCAAAGAGACCTTTGGTCCTTGAGTGCTTGGATTCACTTTGTTTCATCAGCTGTAAAAGGAACATGGCCTTAAGGTCATTAATATACTCAGAGACACTCAGAGGTTTCCTACAAGAGACTGTTAACCGGCTAATGTTTTGTTGCAAAATTGAGATCTGAGACAAGAGCATTTCCTTCCCTGCTGTTCTGCTTCATAACCTCTAGGTGGCGATGTGCTCTAGTAGAACAGTGCAAACACCCAAGTGAATGCAGGTCTTCTCTTTCGCTATCAACCTTAATGCTAACCAGCCCAGAGAACTTCAGCTGTGGTGTGGTATATAAATGAAGCAGCAGCAGCAGCACTCCATTTCCACTGCTCTTAAAAACTTGTTGAAAGTGTTTTAGATACAGAAGCAAAATATCACAATGTCATCTAAAGAATTCAAAAGCACCCATGATTCATGACTGACGGGCACATGCTAAATGCCTCATGGAAAAGCCAGGCGCCTTAGATAACCAGATTTTAAAATGAAGGCGTGCAGGCAGGAGAGCACACGAGGAAGCCGCAGCCAATTGTGGTTTTCAGGAATGTGACCACAAGAGGCGCATGGGCAGCCCACAGGGCCTGAAGCCACTCACCGCCCTACCTGCAGGATGCCGTGGCTGGCAGAAGGAAGAATGCAGTCGCTCAGGTTCGCACACATGGGCAGCTTGTCATACAATAGGTGCAGACTAGAGCAGAAGTGCGACCAAACGCTGGTCGGCAACTACAGAAGACCAGCCAGCTCCGTAATTTTGTGGGGCCACTCTTTGCTGACTCTCTTTATCAGCATTCCGTTCACACAGGGACACGCTTAGCTCCGTCCTCCAACCCTTTGCCGCAGCTCTGCCTCTGGAGGGCGCTGGGGCTTCCACCTAATGGGGACAGGAGAACCCCTTCCAGCCGGAGGGCGGAATCCCATTTCAAGGAAGCTGGGGGCGCGCATTCCACTGAGTGGACAGCAAAAACGGTGGCTCCAAGCAGGCGAAAATACCAGCATGTTTTTGCTTAAAATTCTCAGGCCAGTAACCACGAAACAGGCGCATCCACCTTTCCCAACGGTGGGGAATTGTGCAAAAGTGGAAGGCCACCGACAGCTCTGCTGTGGCGAGAAATAAGGCGACACGAAGGGAAAGGGTCTGCCCATACGGGGCGCCCCAGCGGATCTGTCCGGGACTCCCGGAGGGACACATGCCCCCTCCCAGCCCCCTGGGCCTGGGATTCTGCATGCAGACTTTTGGGGAAGAGGAAAACGAAGTCGCTCCGCTTCCGACTCTCGCGGGAAGCAGCGCCTGCACGGAGCAGGAGGGGCGCAGGGGGATTAAACCGGCCTAAGCACGCCTCCGATGGCTCGCTCGGGCAGGCGCGGGAATCAACGTGGAAGGCGCGGCAGGTGGAGCCGCTAAAATTAGGGCCAGCCTTTGTGAGCCCGGCTGGGGCAGGGCGCGGCCGCCGGCGCGGCCCGGGGGGGGTGTTTGCTGGAGCGCGGGCGCTGATTGGCGTCGCCGCTGCCGCTCGGGGGGCGTCGGCGCGCGGGGGCGGGCGGGGCCTCGCCTCGGCGGGGAGCGTGCGAATGAAATTCAAGCCGCCTTAAGAGCAGCGCGCCATTCATGCGCTGCCCCATTCATTCCCCTCCAGTGCCTGCTCCGCTTTGGGGAGGGAAAGCGCTGCGAACCGCCTGGCCCGAGCAGTGAAAGGGGAAAGTGGTGCGGGGCGAGGGACGAGCAAAACTAACAAGCAGCGCTAGAGCGTCCCGCGGGTGGGAGGAATAAGCCCGGAGATCGGGTGCTCGCAGGGCTTGTTGGGCGCTTCGCTTGAATTTCTTGCCAATGGCCAAAGGAGAAGGAGCAGAAAGCTTGTCAACCGCGGGACTTTTGCAGCAAAGCATCTTAAAACCAGAGGAATTGATTCGTCCCAAGGTAAATTCTTGAACTGTAGGGAGATGGGTGGGAAGGGCAAACTGTTCCCGGGGGATTTAAAGCTGCGTTTCGCATGCCTCAGGGACGCGGAAGAGACTCCCTTCGGGTCCACTGGAGTTTACTTCCGAGGAGGAGCAGGGAGGTCTCCACGGGTTGCAGAGTTGTGGGCGGCGAGGGGGAAATAGATGGAGAGGTTTGGGTCTGCTTTTCGTATTTCAGTAAGCGGGGGCAGATCTGGTATAGAGGAGCTTTTGTTGCGGGGTAAGGTCCCGGGACAAAGAGTTGGAGGTGGGAGTGCCGGTTGCGCTCCTTCCGCGGCCCTCGAATACGGACCGTGGCATGGAAGAGGCGGCAGCGGATTCGAATCCCGTCTCGGCCGGGGCGGGGGAGGAAGCGGGTCCTGTGCGGACCTACAAGGTCTTCCCCCGAAGTGGGAGCGGGCTCGGCTGGATGGACGCCCTTCTGCGGGCCCTGGCGGATCCGAGCCGCTTGGCCAAGGTTAGCCCTCGCTGGGGCGGGCGGTGCGTGCGGGCATGTGTCCTACGTGTCAGCGCTGCGGGAAGGAACGGGGTGGGACGCGGAGTGGGGTGCTCGGGGTGGGCCCCGCTTCAGCTCCCGCACGGCCTCTTGCCTCGGAGTTCTCTGGCTGCCTTTCGGGGCGAGCTCTGGAAGAAAAGGCAAAGGGGAGCCCTCCCCTGTCCCCGTCCCGTGGCCCCCGCGCGTTCAAGTTCATTCATACGAGGCACGTATGCAGCCTCGTACGTGCGTTTCCATAAAAAGGCCGGCACAGCAGGAAAAGTTCTGCAGGCTGCAAACGCCCGGGGGTCTCTCGCTTCGCTCAGAGGTGCGGCGGGGTGGGGGCTTCTCCCCGCCCGACATGAGGGGAACGCGGCATCCCGGGGGGGCTGCAAAGTAGTTTCAGTCCCGCTTGGAGAAGTAGGCGAGGAATGTGAACGTGTTCCTGACGGTGCTAGTGGCGTTGGTCTTTAGGGCAGGACTTGGTGGCGCTTCAAGGACTCGTTCTAAGACTTGGTCCTGAGGTCTGCGAGCGGGCGGGCGGGCGGGGCCGAAAGTGTAACCCCCCCAGGGGAACGGGTGAGAATGCACGAAATCAGGACTGTAAATAATGAGGTGCCCTAAGCGTGCTGTAGGCTGCAAAGTGAGATAGCCGAGGCGGATTTCCACGCTGATAAGCCTTGGCCTGAACAGCTTTGCAGACTTCTGGAGCGGGGCCATCGCCGCTGCGACTGGGGCGGTGGGCGGGTGAGGCTGTAAGGCCCGTGGGTGCATCTGCACATGCATGAGCGGCGGGCGGTGGTGCACGGTAAGGCAGGCCGCATCGTACTTGCAATCCGATCGCTGAACGGCTTCCCACCGACCGGGCAAGCGGTGTGGGATTTCTGCCTTTGCCTGCATTGCCAGCTCCTTGGCCGCAAGCAGCTGCAGTGGGGAATAGTGAGCAGAAGGGGCGAGAGGTGCTGCACGGGGCCTGAAACAAGGGTGGGCAGTGATGCCTCCCCCTCTGCTCAGGAGAAGCTTTTCAGATTCTGTACAGCCCCGCTGAAGAGGTCAAAGCTGTGGTCTCTTTGCAACACAACACAGAAACATAGAAACAGTGAGTCAGAAGGGGTCTCCCTGGTCATCCAGTCTGACCCCGGCTCCAGCCAGCTCCGCTCATGACATGCCCACCATGTGCACGTCCAGCCTGTCCTTGAACACCCGCACCAGTGGCGCCTGAACCATCTCCCATGGAAGCCCATTCCATACGCTTGGGGTCCTAACTATAGAAACAGCAGAATGCTGAATCTGGGAGACCTCTTGCCCCAGGGCTGCCCAGTGGAGCCTCTGCCCAGTGGGTGGGTTGGGGCCTCCTGAAATCAGCTTTTCTCCTTCCTGAACCTCAAAAGGCTGGGGATGGAAGTTGCCAGAGCCCCTCTGCTGAGCTGGATGGGGTGAGAGTAACTTGCTCTTCCATGGGGCGTCATGCCACTGCTGTAGCGGCCTGTGGGCCCTTTTGCACCCCTCCCTTCTAGCATCGCTGGAGGAGCTGCCCCAGTTGTTCTCTCTGTGGGTGGATGCAGCTGTGCTGCTGACTTGGCAGCTGTATGCTCCGGAATTCTTCAGCTGATGCTCCCAACAGCTGGAGCAGTTGCTTGCCTTCCCCCTCACCTTCCAACAGCAGTTGTCTGTTTATCTGTGTTCGTCCTTGACATGCCTCCTCCTCCTCATTACCTGTTGGTCTTTTGTATTGTTCAGGTTTCAGGCCACAGAAATGGTACGCCATTCCTTTCTCCTCCTCGCTTTAGATAGAGCAGGTAGGAGATTTGAGAGCTTGTTCAGCCCAAGACCCCACCTGGAGTGTAGAAAACTGGGACTGTAAGTCTTTTTTCTCAGCAGCCTCTCCCTGATCAATTTTTCTTCTGCCAAAGGAATGGGCTCCTGCACCTTTAATAGTGGTGTAGGTCAGCAGACTGAGCTTGCCCAGAAAGCCACATCTGCTGAAATCCCACTTCCATGCTTCTGTTAAAGGTGCACAAGTGCTGTCCCCTCCTACATCTGGTTAACTTGCTTCTGCTACAGATGTGCTATGTAGCAAATCACAGCCTCTGTGCCTGCTTGCAGTACTGAGAATAATAATAGTGGCCTACTTTTGCAGAGCTGTTGTGAAGACTGCCAAGAGATTGTGTCTTCTCAGGAGCAGGGGCAGGAAGGATGTAGATTGATATCTTCACCAATTACCAGGAGATCTCCAGGGGTTTATGATTCCCAATGTTTTAAATAGAGCAAGCAAATTACAATTTCCGGCATGGTTGGCTAATTGTTTTTCTGTCAGCCTTGGTTTTCCCATTCTGTAAAATAGGAATGTTGGCTTATTGTTTTGCCCAGGTCTCTGCTGACCTGCATTAGAGTGTTGTGTTAAAAGAACTGTGTTACAAATTCCTGTTCTCTGGAATTAGTATAGATGTCTGCATAGAGGCACACATTGTCCTAAAGAGGATTTGTAGATTTATGTATCTGTTAGTGCATGAGTCATGGTGCACATTTTTGTCAATCTTGGCCATTAAACTACCATTTCAAGTTTGGTTCTGCCTGGCAGGACCTTGGCATTCAATTAAGAAAACCAACCTAGATCCTACAAGTCTGGAGTCTTGGGTTTTAAAGTTTTAATTTGAACCAGGCTGCTTCAAAGAGAGGTTTGTGATATTTAATTTTTGAAGAGCATTTTTAAAATCGGTGTTTTCTCAGCAGACGATCTCCTGCACAGCTGCGGGGGTGAAGGGTGTATCAGGAGTACTTGCAGACTTCTTCCGTCATGAGTTGGGTTCCAAACTGGGTTTTAAACTGGATGGAGTGGCATTTGAGGCCAGCCTGTCCTGCATCTTTGTCAGGATGCACTACTGAGTTAAGAGTGAATAATTTCTTTGCCACACACAACAAAAAGTGTTCTGGTTTGGATTATTTAGAATATTTAAATGAAGGCTTCTCAGGATGCAATTCAAGACCACTGGGTTACCTAGCTGTAATCCCTCAAGTATAACTGTGTCGTCCACTCACTCCGTGACCTGCCCTGCAATGGGACTGCCTCTTGTCCCTCTGCAGAAGCCACCATTTTGGGTTTGCCTTTTCACACCCAGCAGATGCCTTGTATATTTGAATCTGATGCTTGTTCTAGCCTTTTCTCCTTCTGGCTTTCCTTCACTCTGTCCCAAGTAGAGATGAAAGAACAAATAGATTGGCATCGTTCCAGCTGGTCAGCAGGAAGATTGGGTCTTAATTAGTTTTACTCTCTTCTGGCAGTGAAAGGTTGCTACAGGACACACCCTCATTCTGGGCAAGTATCCGTTGTCTCTCAGTGAGAGTGTTCATTGACCATTTGTAGTGGTATGTACCAGACCATCTTATTTGTGTCTTGAGAACCTTATATGCAGGTCAAGAAGCAACAGTGAGAACTGGACACGGAACCACTGATTGGTTCAAAATTGAGAAAGGAGTTCGGCAAGGCTGTATACTGTCGCCCTGCCTATTTAACTTATATGCAGAGCACATCATGAGAAAGGTGGGGCTAGATGCATCACCAGTTGGAATTAAGATTGCTGGGAGAAATATCAAGAACCTCAGATATGCAGATGATACCACTCTAATGGCAGAAAGTGAAGAGGAAATAAAGAGCCTCTTGATGCGGGTGAAGGAGGAGAGCGCAAAAGCTGGCTTGAAACTCAACATTAAGAAAACAAAGATCATGGCATCCGGTCCTCTCACTTCCTGGCAAATAGATGGGGAAGAAATGGAGGTAGGGACAGATTTTATTTTCCTGGGCTCCAAGATCACTGCAGATGGGGACTGCAGCCAACAAATTAAAAGACGCTTGCTCCTGGGGAGGAAAGCTATGGCAAATCTTGAGAGCATACTAAAAAGCAGAGACATCACCCTGCCAACAAAAGTGCGTATAGTCAAGGCTATGGTTTTCCCAGTTGCAATGTATGGCTGTGAAAGCTGAACTGTAAGGAAGGCTGAGCGCCAAAGGATTGAGGCCTTTGAATTGTGGTGCTGGAGGAGACTCCTGCGAGTCCCTTGGACCGCAAGGCAATCAAACCGGTCAGTCCTAGAGGAGATCAACCCTGATTGCTCTTTAGAAGGCCAGATACTGAAGATGAAACTCAAATACTTTGGCCACCTAATGAGAAGGAAGGACTCCCCGGAGAAGAGCCTAATGCTAGAAACAATAGATGGCAAAAGAAGAAGGGGACGGCAGAGGATGAGGTGGCTGGATGGAGTCACTGGGGCAGTTGGCGTGAGCTTGAGTGGACTCCGCGGCTGGTGGAGGACAGGAAGGCCTGGAGGAAGGTTGTCCATGGGGTCGTGATGGGTCAGACACGACTTCGCAACTAAACAACAACAACAGTGGTGTGTTTGCAAACACTAAGCCAAGCAAACCTTCCCTAGTAAGAAACTGGAGTGACCTTGTATTATACTCAAACTTGCATTGGGCGAAGATACACAGGTGTGGCTGGAGCTCCTTGAAGGTCATCCAAGGCTGGAAGGGGTTCCGAATGAAAATGGGAGTTGCCAGATAGCTGTCTGCCATGCTAGGCCTGGTGAGGATAAAGAAGCCCACAGATGCTTTGCAATCTTTCATGAGCAAAGCTGTTTTGGTTAGGCAAAGGCTTTTGAATTGGACCCAACATTTCGTGCCACAGTTGCTCAGAATAAGTTAGGTGTGCTTGGGAAACTCCTTGCCAAAGGCTGCTCCCTTGCTTGTGTCTGGGTGGCTGCGTATGAATTGCCAAAAAAGAGGACAAGAGGGGCATCTATTTCGCCTCGCTGATTTCATATCTACAGACGTCGATTTCAAAATGGCATTTTATACAGGAACACCCTCCGTGTCACCACTGTGGGTTTGTTCATGTGTGGTCCTTCTGTCTGCTGGCCGGTTGCACTGTGGCACCGAGATGAGGCCAAGGGGAGGGGGCATAGTCAACTGGGCAACGGAGCAGAGCTGGATTTAGCCTCTGGGCCTGCAATCCCCACACCTTTCTTAGATGCGTGTTTCCTCTTGTTGGTTAAAAAAATGTGATTCTTAATAGTACCATATTATTTGTGAAAAATTCCCCCCTCCACACACATACAGATCATTAGAAATGATGTGGCTTGTTTTTCTGCTGGAGGATGGGATGAGGATGATTCCCCCCGTTAATTACATTGATAGCCCACCTTTTTTCCTTTCAAGGAACTCAAGTCGACTTGCATAATTCTGGTTGGGCTGAGAGTCTGTGACTGGCCCAAAGTCACCGCCTGAGCTTTGTAGCCGAGTGGGGATTAGAACCCAGATCTCCCGAGTCCCAGACGCGCACTCTTAACCACTGCGCCACACTGAGTTGTAGAAGCAAAGTTTTATTAGCCTTCTGTATGGACTTGTGGTCAATTGCTTGGTATCCATGGTGACTGATGGGTCTGCCTTCTCTCCCTAATTTTCCAGAAAGAAAGCAAAAAAAAGCTGTCAGTATGCAGCAAAGTGTGTTACGCCATCGGAGGAGCACCGTACCAGATCACCGGCTGTGCCTTGGGTTTCTTCCTGCAGATCTACTTGTTGGATGTGGCACAGGTAGGCCCAACCAGTTCATGTACCTGTACTGAGGGGAAGCAACTGGTAGCAGTGTGTTGGTTCATGACATATGCCTGAGCTCACCTGGGGCAAGCCTGCAGTTGTGTGCTCTTTGCATCTAGCGCTGTTGCTCTCAAACTTCCTGGACTTGGGCCTGGTTCTCTCCAAGAGCCAAGACTGACTGCACTGCTGTAAAAATAGCTGCATATAAAACCAGCCAGCAGATTCTCTAGCATGTGGAAGGGAAGGTTTGCTGTGCTGCAGGGATTCGGGGGGGCACGGAAGAGCGTTTCCTTTTGAGGCATGGCCCCGCAGAGACGTGGGTTTGCCTCTTTCTGTCGCTGTTTGTGACAGCTGGTCTTTCCTCTAGTTCTCATGCTGCCCGACTTGCCTGGCTCCCTTTCTGCTGGCAGCTTGCTGTAGTATTTGTCAGGAGTGTGGTTTGGGGCACTGGAAGAGATGCCCTGATCCAGTGCCTGGGCCAGTCAGACCCCAATCTAGCTCTTCAGGAAGAAACAGAGGCAAGAAAAGCTTTGCTCAGAAGTTCCTGCAAGCTCCTATAACTAGCAAAAGGGCTAGTGTAGCGGGAGGAGCAGGTGTCAGAGCTGTTGCAGCCTAGGAGCAAGCAACATTTGCTTGTATGCTTCCCAAGAGACAAAATTTTCTCTCTGTAGCTTAAGACTACCTTTTAGAATGGGGGAAACCACAAAAATGTTGGGAATTCACCAAAAAATCAGGGTAGAGCGGGGAGAGGGTCATGCCAAGAAGGCAGGACTGGATTGGCCGTCAAGGGGCAGCTGGACAGCTGCCTGAGGGGGATGCTTTAACTTGCGGTCCTGCAGTGAGTAGAGGGTTGGACTCGATGACCTTCTCGGCCCCTTCTGGGTCTAAGTCTAGGAGCAGTTCCAACACCCTTGCCCAGCCGGTTTGGCAGCTGCCATGACAAATAATTTCTGGTAGGATTGGTATTCCTTTGGTTCTGCAGGATCCCTTCTTTGCCACCCGCCTGGATTTTGCACTGCCACCCCAACCCCAGTTATCCTGCCGACTGGAGGCAAGGACTGTGCCCCCCCTCCTCTGGACAAAATTCAGACTTGGATTCAGCCTTTGTCCTCCTGCTCTCAGGGTTGCAAATGACTGCGTTCATTTCTGTGCCCATGGGATGAAGCTACTCTACATAAAAGTGTGCACATTTCTGGTGCATGCCATGTCTCTGGCTGAGAAAATGCTGTTCTGTTGCAGTGGCACTTCATGTTCCGTGGCTTGTGTGGCACTTCCCCTGGTGCACTTTATCCCTGCTGTCAGCCCATGGAGGCCGCATAGCCTCTTGGGACAGGCCTGTACCACGTGCCACTGGGGTTGCCAAATACAGATCACCAGCCTGGACAGTGGCCCGCAGAGGCCTTGATAAACCTCCTGGCTTTCGTTGCTTGCCCGAGAAAAGCGGAAAACAAAATGCCACCATATATAAGCAGGTCACATCGCACACGTGGAAGCCTGCACGGGTTCCTGCCCCCCAAGTCTGCAGAACATGTGGTAGGGCACGGGCTGTGCCGCCTAGTGGACAAGTTCAGATGGAGAGCCCCACAGGCACTAAATGCAGGGGGGGGTATTGTTTTTAAGAAACAGGAATACATAATCAGTGCACTTCATCATGGGATTCTGCACCTTCAGTCTTACCTTTTTTCCTTCCTGCAGCTGGACCCTTTCTCTGCATCCATCATCCTTTTTGTGGGCCGGGCATGGGATGCTGTTACTGACCCGCTAGTGGGCTTCTTCCTCAGTAAGACATCATGGAGTCGCATGGGACGCCTGATGCCCTGGTAAGCGAGCCACGTCAGCATGCGGCAGGGAGGGGGAGGGCTGGCTGAACGGGGTCCTTTCTCCCATGCCGAAGAAAGCAAAGGGGCTGCACATGGGGACGTTGTTACGGTGGAGTCGAATCCTGCTGCCTGCCTCGCGTGGCCTGGCTGTCTCCGTAGATGTGGCGCGCTGCTTCTCGGTGTATCGGGGCCGCAGACGGTTGGGAATGGCCTTTCGTGAGCATGCAGTGAAGTGCATCTCACCCGGGCGGGCTGCAGAGGGAGGCCATGCTTTGCTTAGCGAGCCTGAGTACCTGGCTTGTCCTTCCCTGCTGGAAGCGGCAGAACGCCTACAGAGGTTATCCTGGGAATGTCCACCTGCACCGGCAGAATGCTGGAATGTGGGAGATCTGCAAAACAGGAGTGGGGAGGATAGGAACTGCGCTTGTGTGTGTGTGTCTCTTACTTATCTTCTCTCTGATGACTGAATCAAGTGGAGAGTGTCTTTGTTGATAACCAAAAATGGAGGAATAATCAATCCTGTGGCCCCTGAACATTGTTTGGAAAGCCACGGGATAGTTTGGATTCCTAGCCTGGAGGCAGCACTTTGGATTGGGAGCTGGTGCTCCACTCGCACCTCTCACAGCTAGTCCAAGAAAAGGTTGCTCTGTGAGGCTGGGGAAGCGACCTTGGAAAGGGGTGAAGAGGGGAGGCTGGAATGGCCAGGATACATCTTATCCTAAAGCCATTGCAGCCTCCTTCCCTGAAATATCATTGCTAGAGGGCCAAACCAGCTGCCTAGCAAAAATGCAGCACAGGCGGGCAAGGATTACATCTTCCTGGTGTGCATGGCATGCCCACAGGCCCCCAGGTTCAGGGACTTACAGGCATCCCAACGGGAGTGCACCCCAAATTGGCACTGAGCTGCAGTGCAGTCTTTGTTTACAAATGGCAGTAACCCTGATGGAGGCAGGCAAGTGACCCCGAACCGCTTGTGTTTGTGTGCGATTGAAGTCCAGGTGATAACCTGCCGATATAAATAGCAGCATCTGTGCTTGAACTCTGCTGTCCTCTTCCCCTAGCATCAGCCCTGGTGCTTGGAGGCTGTGGCAAGATACAGCATAAGCTCCAGTGTGTGGGTAGCGTTTGCTGCAGTGTCTTAGAATAGGGACTGGGCAGAGAGGACGTGCTTGCAGAGTTGAGCTTCTGGCACGAGGCTTGGTTATGCCCTCTACCCCTTCCTGGAAAGAGAAGATTTGTTGTGTGTTTGCTTCTTGTGGCCTCCAAAGAGTCCCTCTTTTTGCCCTGCTGGGCTTCCAGGATTAGATGAGAAGACTGGGCAGGTTTCTGCTTAGCTAGCATCAAATGGTGCCCTCTGGGAGGCTGCGTAGAAGCAGGCAAACCATATTGGCATCGAGAATGGGCAAGGGAGACCTGTGACAAAGAGCAGCAGCCTGTGGTGCTTCCGGGTGGGATGCCAGCAACCCTGCACCCTTCCATGGGAGAATCCAGGTTCATTCTCTCTCCAAAGGGCCTGCTAGTATTCCGTGGCTACAGTTGGGCAGGCTTGTATACATTTTTGAGTGGGAGGGGGTGTTGTTCCCCATTGGGGGTTTTCTTCCGCACCCTTAAGGGTCCCCCAAACTTGCTGTGTCTCCCCTTTGTGTGTGGGAAATGCTGTTTTGGAGACCACCTTGCCTCTGGACTCACCTAAGAGTTCGCTCAGTGACGGTAATGGTTAATTATTATTATTATTATTATTATTATTATTATTATTATTATTATTATTATAACATTTCTATGCCGCCCCTTGCCGAAACCTCGGGGCGGCTTACAACATGATAAAATACATTGAAATACAATAGTACATAATAAATTACCATTAAATATAAAAATACAAAAAATACATTGATTTACCAATATAAAATTAAAATTATCAGTATAAAATAAAAATATAGGAGGAGAAAGAGAAGGAAGAAGAAGTTGCCCTGGCCAGATCATATGTTTTAACAATTGAAATGATGTTTAAATAAAAAGGTCTTTACCTGGCGCCGAAAAACCAGTAACGACGGTGCCAGGCGGACCTCTTTGGGGAGTGAATTCCATAGGTTGGGCGCCACCGCAGAGAAAGCCCTCCTCCGGGTGCTTACTCTCCTAATTTCTTTCATGGAGGGTTCCCGGAGAAGGGACTCTCCTGCAGATCTCAAAGGGCGGTCGGGCATATACGGACGTAAGCGCTCGTTCAGGTAGCCAGGACCCAAGCCGTTTAGGGCTTTATACACCCTTTTCTCCTGCAAGCAGCAGCTGTGGCTGCTTCTCCTTTTTCTCCTCATGATTATTATTAGATTTAATTTCTGTTCCACCATTTTTCTCCTTGCGAGGAGCCCTGTGTGGTTTATTCCTCACACCATTGTTTCCTCAAAGAACCCTGTGAGGTACGCTCGGCTCGGAGTCCATGACTGGCCCGAAGCCGCTCATTGAGCTTCAAAGCTGGGTGAGGACTAGAAGCCAGATCTCCTCCAGTGCTCTGTCCACTTCTCCACATGCTCACAGGCAAATCCTGCCCAGACTAGGCTGCCCGACCTCAGAGGCAGAATGGCAAGACCCTGCTCTTGAGGCTGGAGGGCCCCTGGACACAGCGCTGCGCACAGGAGAAGCGATGCTGCGTACGGGCTGTGGCCATGTTCTCGTTTTCCTGGGGAAAGCCCCTGTGTGCTCCTCTAGGAGAAGTGGCCCCCTGTGGCCAGTGCCACACAGACGCATGAGGTGGGGACAGGCCATGTGAGCCATCCCTGAGGAGCTAGAAGGGACAGGGTGCCTCCTGGGGATGGGGAGTCGGAAGGTGGCCGAGGGACCTGTGGGACCCCCGTTGGTGTAGCGGGACGGTTAGCAGGGGCGAGCATCATGGGCCTTTTTGGCATATCAAGAGGAGCTCACGGACACTCAACCAGCGGCCAGAGGGAGTGGACAGCCCGTACCCAAAATGCTTCCATGCCAGGCATGGCCAGTCACAAACCAGTCATGTCCAGAAGGCAACACGAGAAATTGCCGGAGAACATTCTGAGAGGCAGAAGCGCGGTCTGAGCACCAGAACAGAAAGTCGCACTTTTGAACGCCAAGTCAAGGCGGCGCTTTGCGGCAACGCAGCCGCTCCATTTTTCAAAAGCATGTGATTAAAAGAAACCCTTAAGAAATAAAATAAAAATCTGGGCACAGGTGCCAGGAAAGGAGGCCTGACACACTTGGAGACCCTGGCTTTAAGACTGTGGGCCGAGCATGGGTTCAAATCCCCATTCAGTCGGGAAGCTCCCAAGGTGATCTTGTGCCAGTGGCTCTCTCAGGCTAACCTACATCACAGGGTTGTTGTGAGGACAGCATGGAGTTCTGGGAAACCACATCTGATGCTTTGCATTCCTTGGAGGAAAGGCATGATATAAGTGAACGGCCACTGCGGATTTCTTCACACCACACTGTTTTTTATTTATGTAGAGTCGTCTTAGGTGGTTCTGCTTGATTCTGCAAAAGTCCAGAACCACCCGTGTGAAAACTCTGCTGGGTGCCGCTGCTGCATGGAGGCATTCCCCGCATGAGTGTCCGAGAGAACCCCACAGATTTCCACGTGTAAGACCAAGGAGCTCTGGCTCTCTAAATTTACCTTGCAGGTTTAAATGATTAAACAATTATTCTACTTGTAATCCCTGTTTAATTCCCCAACCTTCCTGTTCTTCCAGCATGTTGTCTTGGCCATTTTAGACCCTTTGTAAAGGTGCCTCCCACATTGAAAATAGGATTTGCTTTAACAATTTCAGTTACCATTCATAATAGACATCATGACCAAAAGGAAAGCCCCAGCTGCAAAACTCAAATGAGAAAAGGAAATAATACGAGCACGACCACAGGGTTTGACCGGTGCACGCCTGCTTTCCGGGGGATCAGTATGGATGCTCATGCAAGCACACCCTCAGTCCAGTGGGGAACAGAGGTACCGAGTACTGCTGTGCTGGTTGGTGTCTGGGTTGTGATGGCTGGGTCCAAGCTTTTGGGTTGTCCTCCATATTTGTAAGATCTAGAAACTTGAAAAACACCCCCCCCCCCGCAAGCAGTTGAATTCTAGGTAGCAGGTTTGCTGTGAATCAGTGCAGTGGTGCCCATCCATGGTCCGCGCCCGGCCACCTGTACAGCCATCGGATTTGTTGAGTGTGGGGAACCGGCTGGCTTTTCAGCAATGACTAGCGAGGAGTCATCCAGGCAGGCCGAATGACGCGTTGCGTTGCTCAGTCAACTCTTCATAAAACAGGTGCGGTGATGCCGCGCCCCGCTGTCTGTCATGCACACAGGAAAAGGTTGTGTCGGTTGTGGAGTCTGGCCTGTGTTAAGGATGTGCAGAAAAAGTGATTACGTCACCCAGCTTTACTCACAAATGATCTTTGGGAAATCCTTTGCAAGTCGCTTATCTAGTTCTTCTTGCAGACAGGGCTCTGAGCCTGGGTCAAGGTGGAATTGGACTTCACCTTACAAGAACTCTCCTGGCAGTGTATTGCAGCTTTTCAGGCAGGGTGAGGACAAAGTTCAGAGCTTGTGTATATCTATTTTTTTGAAAGCTATTTGATCAAGGCATGTTTGCTTTGAATGCGGTTTTCCCAGACCCAGCATGAGTAGTTCCAAACTGCTGCTTTAATCGCTTCCCAAAGGCACCCCTCCTCTCTTTGTAACTGGCAGCTTTGATATCTTGGGTGGCCCATTCCAAAGTTGTGTCTGGATATATTGGAGGCCAGGAATGGCAATCTTCTTGGAGTTTGGTGATTCCTGATGCAAGGAGTGCGTATAAGTTTGTGTCCAGATCGTTCTGAGTAAGCATTTCTCCCCCTAGAACTGCCCTTCTCATGCATCGCTCTGGAGTATACCTGTCATGCAAAGCTTCGTGGGACTGGACAAGTCCCGCTGTGTTACCTGGCGCTCACTCCCAGGAAGACATAGAGGCTTGCAACTTTATTTGTAATACTGCCCGTGACGTCTATAAC